TTTGAGTCACTTTAGGATCCCATAGGCCAACTGTTCGCATTATTAAAACCCAAAGAAATAATGTCGTGATGATAACTCAAGCTTATTCAAATAAGTATATATTCTTTTGATTATTTAAGAATTCTTATTTTCATGTAGACCTTGTAAATGCTCAAAGGATTACGCTAAAAGGATTTGCCTTTGAGAAAGGTCTTGCTTTAGACTGAAAATATTCTGTCGCTAAAAACAAAAATTCATTATGGGATCATAGCCTAAAGAAAACAATAACGATGTTGAACGTTCCATGTGACCCAGTTAATGTTAATAATAGAGTGGTGTTATGTGATGGAAATAGGCATGGTTGCGGGGCATTTGTGTTTTTTAACACTACTTTTCTTGTTGTCACTAAGGTACATGTCACTGGTGACGTCACAGGATCTGAAACTTTTGAAGAAGGAGAGACATCTCAAAGATTTTGAAGGTGGGGTGTAGAGGGTAAGGGCATTTTCGACTGTTTGCCAGTAATTCATTTACACCACTATTTGTCCAAGCAAAGACTCTAATTCAAACAACATCGTGTAATGATGACGTCATGATGACGTCATCAGGTGTTTATTTATAGGCAATTAAATTGTGACACTTTTAATATTTAAAATGCATAAGAAGTCAACCGTACGCGTCCGCAGCATTCTGTTGCCGGCAAGTGGTAGAGTAGGTTGAGGTCTTTATTTCATTCAGTGTGCGTGCAATCACGTGACCCTTGCTTCCGGTCGAAAAAGGCCAAAACCGGAAGTGGCTTATTTTTTAAAAGCGGCAATAGGTATGAACTTGCTTTTAACGGTGTTAGTCACTTGGCTGATAGTATTCTTCAAATCATCTACCGATGACGTCATGCAATCTTCGAGCGCCCTCTAGCGACAGGTTGAAAAAAAATTTAAATGTATTTTGAATAGATGTCTGAGGTGAAGTTTGTCAGAATCACCTTAATATTGGTGTATATGATGACCTTGACCCACTTAAGACGTGTGCGTAGTTTTAGGCGAATGACGTCATCAGACCGGAAGTTATAATAAAAAGACTCTTTTTCATTTGAAAATTCCTGAAAAATCAACCATGGCAGTTATATTAGTTTTTACTTCAATTGTCGATTCAAGGGTAGGTCTAAAATATTTCAAAGCATCGAGGCAATAAGCGAACTCGGACATGCCCTGCGTATGCTTAAAAGTTCAGGTTGACAATACATCTGCTTTAAAATATGCACAGGACGTCCACAATGTATATGTACATGCACGAACGTTGTACATACGCACATACATCGTATGTCAGTCAGCCCGCAGAGCACGTGTTGCTGAGGTCAAATCCTGTCCACAGTGACCGTTTTAGCCGATTCCGCCTAACTTTGACAGATTTTATGTTCATGCATGCGCATAGTCAGGGACTTATAATTGATAAAAAAATCATTCTGCAGAAAAGCCCTATGTTACGTATTTAAAGGTGCAGTTTTTCTGCAGTGGGATTTTCCACAAGTCTTTTCCTATACAACACTGATGTCTTACTGAGTTGTTCTGAACTTCGGCCAAGAATTACTATGAGAAGGACAGAGAAATCATATTTTTTCGCGCTGTCATTTGATTCAAAATATTCCCAAGAGTCAGAATATCAAGTACTATTTTCTGAAAATGTTTCAGTTCAAAAGCAAATCACATATTTAAAGGTGCAGTTTTTCTGCAGTGGGATTTTTGAGCCCATTGACTTTGAATTTCATCTAAAAATATGCGGACTTTGGATAACTGCGCTGAATTACCCCAAGCTAGACTTGCCCTAAATTAAATAGCTGGGAAAAGTGTCACGATATAAATAACACTATTTTCTACTCACAATATTAGTTGTGGAGACAGCAAATGGCAAGTGAAGTGCGCCGCACCTGCGGCGTACACGTAACCAAGCTCCTTAGCAACTTTAAGCTACGCGCTATAAATTTGGCTTCAGTAAGCGCCCAACTATGCGGTTTGTGCATGCAGTGTAATGCCAATGCGCCCAATTCCGCACCGCACACTAAAAGAGCCCAACGCGCAACAGCGCTTTCACTGGTACCCTGTACTGCCAAGCACTCATGCTTGCGCACTATGTACATTTTATGTGCGCAGCTAAAAAATTTCTTATTTCTACCACCCTATAAAGACCAAACCGAAGCTGCAGAGCATCAGTTTCAGCACTACAAGCAAGGGTTACATTAATAGTCACTAGAGTCATGTTTCTCCAATGTCCTAGGGTGTAGCCAGTAGTGTCACTGAATGACTTGCCACCGAAGGACCACTTGCCCCTGCAGGCCTCCCAGGAAGATTGCGTGCATGAGTGACGTGGAGGACTTCAGCGGGAGCTTATGGAACACAGCCTCAGCTGTGCACAGGCCCGTCACCAAGGGGGGGGGGGGGGGGGGGGTGGTGGGCCGGGCCCCCCTCGGCGAGCAATTGGCCCCCCAAACGGTGGGCCCCCCTTGTTGGTACTATTTGGCCCCTCCTGATGCTCAGGGCTGGCGACGGGCCTGGCTGTGCACAAAACATACAGGTTAGTAATCATCTCATTGGAGAGGGCATCCCCTGCCCAAATTTCTGGGTCAAAATTTCATATTTCACAAGTTCCTCATTCAAATGCCACCTACATGAACATGCACCGAAGCCAATGAATTGAACAAATCTCAACCAGTTAACTTTGGTTGTTGACATGTAATAGTTTACAAATAATGAATGTTTGTAAGTGCAATGGTAAGAATAATTTCATGAGGTGACAGATGAAATGTTCCATTCCACGAGGCAACAATTTTACCTCCGAATGAAATTATTCTTTCCATTGCACGAATGTGAAACATTCATTATTTGTTTTATATAACACCTGAATAAATCCTCTTCATCTGATTGGTTGACTTTTAATAGCCAATTTATTCAAGTTAACAACTGTTTAAAAGTTCGACAAGTTCAGAGCTGTCCCATTTAACTGATGTAAAAGGTTGAGAACTATCATATTCATTTTATCTCGATTTAAAACTATTCCACAAGTTTAGAAGTGTTATTACCAATTCATGCAAGGCAAGTTAAAAGCTGTTCCACAAGTGCAAAACTTGAACAGTGCAACAAGTTCAGAACTTTTACATCCAATTTATGTAAGTTAAAAGCTGTTCCGCAGTGCCACCATTCGCAGCAGTCAAACCGTGCAATGGAAGTTCTATTCACCATGCAATAGAACCTTCATTGCACTGTGTGCTGCGTGCCGCGTGTGCGCCGTGCGTTGAGACAAAGAATTCAATGACATGTGATCAATGATCCACCAATCAGATGACAGGGATTTATTCAGGTGTTTTATAAAGAGAGACAATTAATGGAGGTGGCAGTGACTAATTAATTACTTGTGTAAATAATTGTAATTTATTAGATACTATTATGAATATTAGTATTTGCATTTGCAACTGTATACCTTTTACCGACATGAAATAAATGTTGAACAATGAGATTTATAGTTAACAAGGGGTAAATTAAGCTTCAAAATCAAACAAGCCCAATGATATGTCCCACAGTGACCAAAGAATGGCCCAGCAGGGGTTGGTCACAATAGTAAAGTTCCCCATTCCTCAATGCCCCATGCGCACGTAAAAAAAACAAGGTAACACTCATCGCTAAGAGAAGGAGTTTGCCCGGTGTTTTTGGCAGTGGCTGCTTAATGCGTTGCAGCAGCTTGTGAACTTTTTTTTCTTGAAGAGGTAGAAGAAGACAAAATCGACCGCGAGAAAAGGCAACACACACGCGAACCGCAGATAAATTGTTTTTATATATCTTGTATGATTTCCTGTAAAATATTGTGCAGGGATGCTGAGCAAGAGCTTGCGACCAATATCCGCCGTCTGCAAATTGAACAGTGAGCTTCTTAAAACTAACCAAAAGATGGAGAGGCAGCTTGGCGACACCAGAGCCAACCTGGCTGCCTCCAGGCAAGAGTGCAGCGGCCTGAAGCAATCCATTGCACAGGTGACCGCGGCACAGGCTGGCATCACGGCCGAACTATCCCCCGCTAAAACCATGAAAAATGATAAATCGAGAATATTTTGAGAAAAACAGGAATTTTTTGGGAAAATATGTTTTGCCCCCCTCTAGAAAGAAATCCTGGCTATGCCCATATTTCCAGCTCTTGTACAAAACTTTACCCGAAACCGTTTATTTAGCTTCACTGTGCATGTCTGTCATTATGCGAGGAGCCAGGCGCGAGTAAGCTGGGGGAAGTTATCGAACGCATTCCTCATAAAATTATTCTTACCAAAAAAGGATAATTTACATCTTGTAAAATTTTTAAATCCTGCCCAGGTTCCAATCTGAAGTCCATCCAGATGATTCTTAATAAGACAGCAGACGGTACAGGCATAGACTCCAACACCCTGGCCTTACAGATGAAGGGCCATCCTGAGCTGAGGGACAAGCTTCATGTCGTCACCTCTTGAGGGCCTTTGCCTGTCTACCCTGGGGTGGTCAACTCAGAATTACCTGGTAGGTACAGTGGACTCTCTGCCCAAAAACTCTTCCTTTTAAGGAAAAAGGTTAGATGGAACTCTTGAACGCATTGTCGCCCAACACCTTGTGCTGATGTTAAGATATTGGATGATCGTAGTGCAGTGTTTATACAGCACTCTTATACCACACTCTTGGATTGCTCACACTTATTACCCCTGTTCATCAGGCCATGAGAACACTTTCCTGCTGAAGCTCGAGATCAGCAGTATATGGTCTGCACCCCCCATATATACTCAATGGAGAGAGGTAATTGTAGTAATGTATCTTGCCCAAGAACAACAGCGACGTGTCCCCTGTCAAGGTTGACCCAACATGACATCATGCATGAGTCAAACATGGGAACCTTTTGACCACAGGATTCCCCCCGATTTTTAAACACTGTATACTCAGTGTGTTACCTCCTGAGTAAAAGTTGGAAAAAAACCTCCATCTTATGCAAAATTCCATCTTATGTATGCGATACTCGCTGCTATGTACATCATATCCCCTTAGATCGGTGGATGAGTGGTAAGACATCTGCACTAGAAAGCAGGAGGTCGTGGGTTCGAGTCCCACCCGAGGAATTTTTTCCAACTTTCACTCAGGAGGTAACACACTGACCATTTATACTGTCCGTTTATACGTACAGTTAATACGTCGGTGAAGGGCAAAACCTAATTGATTTACATCACCCCGACGCAAAATTCCATCTTATGAATACTGCATCAAATAAGTCATACATCTTTTGCATAAAAACATTTGTTGTGTGGGAGAGGGAAGTACCTCAGACAGTCAGACCACCATTTAAACAGAAGATCTGACCTGACACGTGTACATGAGGACATACAAGGGCCTCATGATTCTGACATTTAGTATGCCTGTACAAATTTTAATAATGTTGAACCCTGCGTCATAGGTCAATCTAACAATCTACGCACTAACCAGCTGACAATCTACGCCCTTGCCAGTATCAGACTTTAAACGGCCAGCAAGAACCTGCCGTTTTGAGTCTGTGTTTAGATTAACCACCATTTTGCTCGTCTCAGTTTGAATATTCTTTGGGGTCTTTTTTCCTCAGAGGATCTCAAGACATCTATCACCAGGCATCTTCTCAACATGCATCTCGACCCCAAATGGCAAGCTCAACTGAACCAATACATGGTGTCCAAATTTGTGCCGGTTACGCTGGATCAGAACAAAGGTTTGTTAAAATAAACAAACAAATGTCCCGATAAACCAAAAAGGGAAACCGACGATTATTTCATTATAAAATATATTGCATTATTACAATATAACAATTGTAACAAAATAAGGAGACAATGCTATATTTTAAAAAATAATAATAAATCGTTGTTGAAATCAGTACTCATAAATTGTAACTTGTCATGATGCAATTTTGTGCTCTAAATTAATAATGAAAGATACATATTTTATAATGTAAACATGTTTTTTATTTTTTTTATTTTACTGAAACCAAAGAGACTATTTGTCAATGTTCAAGTTATTGTCACATCTTGCTGTGTGCAATGAGTTCGTTAGCAGGGCTCAAGTTTTGTGTGAAAACAGTACCTGAAAGTATTATTTACTGGACCAATGTACATTGGCAGTTAAAATTGAAACACTGTTACTTAGAGCCATGTGAATCATTTGCAGTTACCGGGAGAAGCATTGATTTAATGACAAAACTCTGCTCAAAGTCAAGATAGGAGTGGTACCAAATACCCTTTGAAAATATTCCAGCTGAAATTGTTTCGTTTGGATGAAAACTGAGGTGGTGTTGAAAGAGGGTGTCCACGGAACATTTTAACATTAATGCATTAGCAATGGAATCGAGTTACAAGACACCCCAAAAAAGTGAATGTATTTCCTCGGTTTTCTTAAAATGTATGCTATCTGATCAACCTTCAACAGGTTAGTTGTCATGCACCCTGCTTCAGACTTTTAGCAATTTTGTTGCTTCAAACAAAAGTAAAGGCACAAGAAGCAAATAATCATATGTACCTTTTAAGAAAGTTGCAGTCATTAGGATTATACAAGAAGTGCATTTCATTGCTTCTGATGGTAAACGGGAAACATCAAATGTGAACATTTTTAATAGTCAAATGAGTCTTGCATATGTAGGATTAGTCATGATCACGATAATCTGAGACCAGATTTAGACAACACATGCAATCATGAAAGGCATGTATTCATCTGAGTGCAATGTGTAATTATAAAACATCAAGATGAATTTGTATTCCCTTTGTTTTAAGTTACCAAAACTTCCAAAGAATTTATATACGATTTAGAAGTGTTTTTGTCATTACGCATAACCATCACTAAAGAGTGAAATACATTTGAACATCAAAACAATGTGAGTTACAGTGAAGTGCAAATTTATTTATGCAAATGCGATAAGGTTTTCTGTCATGGATATTGGTATGAACGTAGATGATGTGGATATGATTCGCCTACTTTAGTGTACATGTAGTTGTGTTTGTCATTTATAATACATGCACACCATATAGTTATTAAACTTATCAGAATTTATGTGCTGTAAATTTTGGATTTTTGTGACTTGGTTTAAAAATTAACAGTCACTTCTTTCATTTCCAATGGCAAATTATTAAAGTGGATGCGGTGTTTAAAACGAATCAGACTTTCTATTCTATAAATGTTCTAGTTTTCTGGCAACGTGATATTAGAAATGAACTCTTTTGAACTTTTAATAAAATTGTATTTTCAATGGCAAATTTTATATTAAATGCATGTACATGTAGATCTGAGCCAATTTACTTGTTTTAGTCAAATTATTCTGTGTGAAAGATTGACCATTTTTTCCTCTGGCTTATTTCATTGGGTCACGCTTAATTTCTTGGTTACAGATTCCCAATGTGTAAAAGTAGATATCATGGCTAAAGGAAAGTACTCAAGAAAAATAATCAAACCCAACTTTAAAATATCTTTAAAAAATTTAAGTATCTTCCTTTTCTTGTACATATATTCAGTGGGGAGTGCCCAGGGGAGTGCCGATAAAATCCTACAATCGTGCACACTAAATTACCTAATAGTGTACTGGGGCGGATCCAGGAATTTTCGCAGGGGAGGGGGGTTCATCAGCCAAAAAATTAGAAAATGTAAAGGGGGGGGGGCCTGGCCAAATTCGACGATTAGTAACACTAGATTACAGACTGGTGTACCGTATTTTTAACAGGCGCACATTATACAAGTATATTTTTTTAAGAATTTGTATGATAATTTTTTTTTAAAGGTGAGTACCCTCAAATAATCCGGCCCATTTCGGTTCTGTAGGCCACATCTCTTGCGTTTACCACAATTTGGTAAATAATGGACTGAGCTGCAGCTCTGCTATTTGCCCAGGATATCATACATATACGTAAACACAAAAACATACATACATAATCTTAACACCGTTCTTAGGGAACTTTGTTCTACTTTTTTTCATTTTAAGGTAGCATTTTTGATATCGGGGGTCAATCTCTCTGGGGGTTATCCTGCCACCAAGTCTATGTTAAAAAGTTTCTACTGGTAACTTCAACAGCGCCCTCTAAACAAATCTTTGAGAGTGGCGTTTTCGAAATTTCGGACTAGCTTCGGAGTCAGTAACGTAGTCATTTCCACAACTAATTACATGTCCGATACAAGCCTGTCATAACATTTGGGCTGTTAACAACAAAAAATGTTCATAGCAAAACAAAGACCGATACCAGTATATCCCGAAAGTGACAAAATAACATCGCTGGAAGTCAAAGCCAAATCTTTCGAACGAAACCAATGTTTACGAAAATTCCCAAGGTATGACGTATTGCCCACGTGAGGGCGCATACAGGTGGTGTTGTTTTGTGACACTGACAGGTGCAAAATGAATGGTTACAATTCACATGTGGCGGTTTGTTGTCATGTCAGTGCTGCATGCACATGTCACAATGAAAAGACTCTGCACTCAAGCCCGTCTCCCAAGTGTCGTCGCCATGTTGGGTCACTTTCTCCGGATGTTTTCATGGTTGTATCTCTGCTAATTTGTGACTGTGAGGTACTTGGTTCAGTGTGTCCGCCGTCAACTCGATTTTATTAACCCCGGAAAAACTGCAAGACGTTCATTGCCTGGTCAGTCGTGAGTATTTAACAGGGACAGAATCGTATTACCAAGGTTGCGATCATGTGCATTCACTAAGCGCGGGCTTTGCAATCGCATCAACGTACCTTTTCCATAAACCGTAAATCTAAGATTTTCACATAATCCTATTTAAACATTTTGGATTTTGAGCATGTTAAGGAAGTGACAATTAAGCTAGTGGTTACTCACGTACGTCACAATATGTGCATCCCCCCATGTTGAAGCACTTGAAAGTGTTCAACATATTTAATTGGCCTGATCAAAGATCAATCTGACAATTGATAATTATTATGTGCCAAAAACAGGGCTGATGGCTTTCAGGGACTTCATTCATCCTTGCAACATATCTCTCTCTGTTATTTAAGTCTCTGTTGTATCATAGTGGTGATGTGAAGTAGTTTTCTATAAGAAATAATTAATGCTGGGTTCCTTTATTTTCAATAGGACCCAAAGAAATATTGATTGTGAAAAGAATGCACAAGTCATATCCCTCACACCTTTTGTGACGGAAATGACAATTATTATATTACTTGGCTTTTGGAGGTATAATTACCTTTTCAAGTTGTTTACAAATTATGGCAGTAGGTACATATTGAGAAATACACTGGGACATGCATTTTCAGGGGGTTTTGAGGGAGTATTGTAAAGAATGAGCATCTTGTCCATTATGTTAAAGAGTTTTTAACACTGCACATAATAGGAGTCGTGTTAAAGTTAATTTCACTGCTCAAAAATCTAATTTTCATTCTATATTTTTTCGAAGTATAGTGCCTTAAAGTGTCGGGACATGAAAGTAGACACTTGATACTGAAGAATGACCCATAGGCCCCTTTTTAATAAGAACTTGCTGGAAGTGTACATGCGGGAAGAAATTCATGATAAACATCTCCAGCATTTAGGATAGAGATAAACCCACGAATGATTCTAGCGGAAGGTTGATGCATTGGCAGTTGTACTGTTTAACTATGTTCACTATAGGGTGTCAGTGGGTACATTGCATTTTTTGAAGAGAAGCTGAAACAATTAGAATCAGTAAGTGAAAATTTACAAAAATCCACTTTGACAAAAGATGTATATCATACATTTAATTTAGCCAGTTAAACTGTGCACATTAATTTACTTGTGCTTTTAACAAATTCAATAAATATATAAAATCTGATATCAAAAAGTAATTTCATCCTCTGCAGGCTGAGTGTCAACATTAAACTGAAATCCACAGGCAAAAGGGGAACTATGTATTGGTGGAGTGAGGAAATTATGGATGTGACATTTACACATTTAAACATTTAATATAATAAACAAAGTTCTAAATCGTATTTTTCCAAAGGTTTTAACAAAACTCAAATTTTAAAAGCAGGAACCTATTTTCCGCTATCTTCCTTTGAGTTGAGCACGCATAACAAAAATAATTCAAACCTATTCAATTTGCTAAAAGCTAAGGAGAACTGCAGTACTAGATTACTTTCAGGCTACGTGCTCATCTTTTTATTGTTTTCAATGACAGCCCTCTTTTTATTATGTTACTCTTTTATTATTAAATTATTGTGTCGATCATGTTGGTCTGCACAATGGGCAGTCATCAGTCTTTGTGAAAGGGCTCAACATTGAGATGGTTCTTTAAATGTTTGCTAAACATTTACAAAATGAAACGTCACATCCTTAGAAGACATTGGAGGAGGAGGTCTAAGAAATTGGAGGAGGAAGGCAATTGGGGGTCTGTGGATGTTTGAGCTACTACGTACATGTAGAGGGTAACAGATGTCTCTGATGGTGATGCTGAAGTTTTGCAGAGCTATCTTCTGTTTGCTGACCTTCATTGCTGGACGGACAGAGCATGGATGTAGCTGCTTGATACTCGTGATGATGGTGTCCCTTTTGGTGAGTGCTGGGTGTTCACTGATTTCCTGTAATTCTCCCCATCTGCCATGTGCTCTGTGTTTGTGCTGTCTGGCGTTGAGTTCTCTTGCTGGTGTACCCAGTGTACACCTTCTGCATTCGCAGGGGATGCATCAGGTTCGGTCTTGGAGGCTTGCTTGTCCTGTGGGCTATTGTG